TACTTTAACACTAATGTAAACTATAGCTAGTACTAGACAGACTAGATAATAATAACCTTTGCATAATGCTAACAAAAGAACTCTAACAAGAGTTTGCATAAAGTCCTTAAAATAATAATTAACAAGCTTACGCTTGCACAAAGGGCACTAAGAACAGAATTCTAAGGGGATGTTCTACTGCACACTGCTGTTGTACAAGCCTGTTAAGAATAACTAGAACTAGAACATGCTATGTTTACTATTAAGCCCTTGTGCGAAGCCCTATTTAGCAACCTATAGGCATTACTCTAAGTTACTATAGACTAAAGGGCAAACTAATACCTCTAGGAACCGCCTAATGCATACTACACAGACTGCTAATATAACTCTGCATAACAAGAAGGAAGCCTCCCTCTGCGTAAAAAAAGACAATGTAGAAGATCTTTATCTAGGTTTAGGCCACAATCTAGAGATAACTGCACACAGACAAAGAAGTGCTTTGTCTGTTATAAGAAAGAATGTTAGTTAATAAATTATCCTTACACAAATTAATCCTATGTAAAACGCTAATATATCTCTTTATATAAAGAATTCTATAATAAGACACTAATGTGTAAAGAGGTAAATATGTACATTTAAGAGTTTAAAGGTGAACTAGAGTAGAAGAAAAAGAAGTTGCACAACAATAACAACTTAGATAAAGAGAAAGGTAAGAAGATTATTAACTACCTTACTAATGCTGCATTTCTCTACCACGCGACCGCAGAGGACATCTACAGCCTAGAACCTAAAGGATACGTAGAATAGTTTATCCTTAAAGATTAATACTATATAGTATACTAAGGTAAACTATAGGATACTAGCGCAGCAAGGATCTCTACTGTAGGGAAGTTATAACTTAAAGCATACTTATAAGAATTCCCTTGTACAAAAGTAGACTAGACACTAAAAAAAAAGAGTATTAGCTTTAAAGAACAAAGATTAATAAAATTAATTAGTACTATATAAATTACTAACCTAGTTAGTAATATAATGTATTACATCCTAGACACCCTAACACTGTTCCTACTGTCTCTAGCAGACGTAGACTAAATGGGTGCGTACTTTAACAACGTGCAGAATGTAATTGTACAAAGTGATAGAAATACTGTCCTAGTTGTATAAAAATAAGGTTATCTATTCTTTAACATATAAAAAAAGAAATTAATGTTCTTTTTTACTAAATGTAAACTTTAATAACTACATAGAAGATTTAGCTATCCTTGTATAGAACAACTTTACACAATGCTTAAAAACGCTAGACATAATGTTAATCCCTTTATACTTAAGAAGATTAAGAAGTTCTGCTACATATGTTAGCTACATAACCTAGCACTATAAAGATTTAAGTTTATAATTAAGAATAACTTACACTTTAACTATAAGATAGTAATTAATGTTGTATAAATTAGTAACTAAAATGTACTATATGTAATTAACATAGATATATTATTTTAAGTAGTAACTTTCTTAAAATTAATGTCTGCACAAGATACCTAGGACGCGCTCTGTAAGTGTTAGATTAACATGTACTAAGGCCTACTTAATTACATTATATATAACCCTAGTATAAACTTTGCATCTAAAGACTTCTAGAATTACATAAAGATTGTAGGAGCAACGTGCTAACAGATGCTAGTAGAGGCCTATTAGGCTCTAGGGAAGATTAAGCGCGCGCACGCACCACTGCAACGTGCGTATAATATCCTCTGTGCAGAATTAGATAATTGTACAAATAATAAGTTAGTGTTATAGATAGCTGTTAAAGCCCTAAATAATATAGTAGGACTAAATAGTCTTATACCTACATTACTTATATTTAAAATGTACCTAAGAATTAACATAGATTCTGCACTATCCCCTAATATTATCACGTAAGCTAATGCTGTACAAAAGGCAATAAAAATGCTTTAAAGTAAGAAAGTAAAAGTTAATATTAATTATATAATTAATACTTAGAACAGCTTAACTTTATATAAAGTACTAAATCTCCTACTTAGTTCTAAAGTAAAGACATAGTAAGAGAAGAAGAGATAGACAGGACTGCATGTAGTAAAGGGAATTAAAGCCTTAGATGTTATTATTAAGATAGAGAATAGTCTAGTAAGACTCTACTACACGCAAGTTATGCTATATTATTGTATAAAGAATAAAGATAAACCTGCATAAGAATTACTAGATCTAGACAAACTAGCCCTAGTACAAAGGGATCCTCCACAGGCACAAAAGAGAGGTCGCCTACGCAAGTAACTAACCTTAGTTAATAGACTACACAAAACAGCCCTTTAAGCAGCATTAGATTTATTGTATAAACTAAAACTAGAACTACAGCTAGCTAAAAAAGGCTAAGGGAGACTGTGTAAGAATCTACAGGCCACAACATTTCTAACCTAAAAGGAAAAAAAAGACTACGCGCTAGCAATTAAGCTCTGTGCAAATAGTGTAATTACAACACCTAGAAGACTATTTAAAGAATTAGACTGTACAGAAATAAAAAGTCTAATTATAAAAAGCACATTTAAGGTACTCTTATATAATTTATTAATTTATAAGGGACAGATCTTTAACCTTTAACTTATATATAAAGTTAAAGGGAAATTAATAAAACTGTATAAAAAGTTATAACTTATGTTTATAAAACATTTAGATAAAGAGAAGAAAGAAATTCTTACATAGTCTTCTATAATTTAGAAAATAAGTTAGAGGTTAATTCTAGCTATTAGCCTATTACTAATAGCTTTATATAACATGCACTGTAAACTACACAATATTACTTAAGTATATGTATAATTAATAGACAAGCTTGTTTGCACTCTCTTTACATAACTACTAAAAGAACTCTGTAAAAGCTTTCCTCTACACATAATATTTAGAGTTGTATAACTACTATACAGTGTAGTAGAGTTAGGCTTGTATTAGTTTAAGACATACTACAACTATTATAAGAATAAACTTTTTATAAAAACCTTATTATATAATTTATGCTTATTAATTACATATAAAGGCCTAATAGTGTTTAGTATTACAGGACTGTAGACAGATAATACCCTTAGTATTATCACAGCTAATTTTGCATAAAGAGAGGAAAAAAAATTACTTAAGGCTAACTTCTAAGTAAAGCTTAAGACTATACTATTACATAATTAAGCTATTAAATTTAATAAAGAAAAAATTTACTTTATATAAAATAATATTATTTTTATATAAAAGGGTTAAGCTAGGAATCTACACATAATAGAGTCTAAGGTAGAGGATGCTGCGCAGAAGTACGTCAAACAGCGCGCGCGAGGTGCCTATATCGCATTAATATGTTAACCTAAGGCAGCATTTAACCTGTCTACTGCCGCTTAAGTTGTGTTACTGTTATACAATAATATTAAGGCATTAAATGTACAAATCTAATAGCAAATTAACAACTAAAATAAAGAATTATTATATATACTACTTAATCTCTTTTATACAAAGTTGTTTATCTTTACTAATAGATTATTTATAAATAATAAAGACCTAAGTTTACAGCTTAGCTTTCTTATTATTTTTAAAATTAAGCAGTAAACTAAGAACTTATATAACTTTAAAATTATAGGTAATATTATATACTAGAACTTCTCTAAGTGTAAACGCGTTACCTGCTCTGTCCTAGCTAGTAAGCTGTACAGAATAGTAGGAGGATTTAACTGCGTAATTGCACTAAGTACAACTATTAACTAGATTACATGTATGCTTAGAATACCTCCTGTACTTATTATACTATGCACAGATTTAAGATCTCTGTATAAATGTCTTATAAAGCTTAGAACAACAAATAAAAAAAAACTTATAATTAATATTATGTTAATTTAAGAATTATATAAAAAGAGAGAGATTACAGAGATTAGGTAAATTAATAAAAGGGACAACTCTATAGATGCCTGTACAAAGAAGGCGCTAAACTCTGCTTTTAAAGAACTAATTTTATACAACTAACTAACTATTAAAGTTAAAGCATTAGTTAACAGACTTAAGCCTATATAAGATAGGCAAAAAGGGCCCTATAGTAACCTGTCTACTATATGTGTAAACAAGGCAAGTCCTGTATAAAAGAAAAAGAAAAAGTTGCTAATATTTAAATAGTAATATTTAGGCGCCTAGTTAATAGTTACGTGGCTTAGATGCGCCTAGATCCCTGTGCACAGAGATCTGTGCGCAGAGTTTAGGACTATATTAACCCCTTTCCTTTATATAATAGAAAACAACAAGAAGCAATCAACACTAGTTACCTAACACCCCTGTGCGATGTTTACACCGTGCAAACCTCTCCGTCTTGTACGCATTTGCTGACACCAAGTGCTAGCTAGCAGAGAGTCCATTCAACAACTATCTTATATAAGCTGCTACTTAATACCTTGCTTATACTACTATCTAAAGAAGATTTACTTTATTTTTAACAGTACCTTAATTAAAAAGCCCTTTTTATTTATATTATAAGTATGCTGTAGTTTTATGCTATATTACTTAATTTTTTTACATACAAGCTTAAAATATAGCAAGTACTTAAATGCTAAGTTAGCTTTGTTACGCGTAGCGTCTATGCTAGATGTCTATTAAGATAATAAGTTAATAAAGTGCCTTTTAATAAATTAATTAACCTAGCTTTTACTAGCTTACCTACTACTTATTTTTATTATAAAATTTTAAATTATTTATTTTAAAGGGGATAGACCTCTTGCGCAAAGTCTATTAATATACTCTACTAGCTTTTTCTCCTGCACTAGGCTAAGTAGTTGCTAATTTTTAAGTTTCTCTGCACGCAGGCAGGTAACGCGTTAGTAACGCCTTAAGAGTGTAGATTAATTAACGCTATACTGCCTAGCTACTGCAGCATAATTTAGTAATTCTTTAGGTTTTAGTAATTTTAGCAACTCTAAAGTGGCCTTAATACTGCCCATATTAGTTAAGAGAGAGGTGGTTGAAGTTTTAACAGCTTCGCGCAGAACCGTGCATTACGCGAGGCCGTGCATTACACGCTAAAACACAGTATCCACCTCCCTCACCTCTCGCCCGTTCAACTCATCACACAGCCAGCTGCGAACCAGCCACAGGACCTCCGCCTTAGGATTGTCCCAGCCGTCCACCTTGGTTACTTTAGCAATCTGGCAGTACCATTGCTTGAACCTTGCTCGTGTGCCAGCGTGCACGCAAAACACCCACGTCGCCAACGACTTGTCCTGCGCCTAGTGGGCATACTCGATGGCAAGCTGAGACTTCCTATGTGCGCGATTAGTAATTATCACCTCTAAGTGAACGTATTTTGTGTGTCACGCTGCCCACCCAACGCCTCAGAAGCTGACGAGCGCGGTACGCGACCTGCTAACCAAGCGCGGAGGCGGCATACCTTGTCAAGGCCATTGCAGATAACGAAATTATTGTCGCTAGAAGGGGACTATGGAGGACGTGGTAGGAGGCGGTGGAGTGGCCTAGAGACAGCTAATTAGGGTCAGCTGAAAGAGCGGGGTCGCTAGGCGCACGCGGCACGCCCCGTTTCGCTCGGGACACGCCCACCAAAATACCCACGCGACACAGGAGGGCTGCTTGCGCGTAAAATAAGTACCGCCAAGGAGATAAACCAGCAAGCGCTAGAAGGGAGAGAGAAGGCGCTAGGGAAAGAGCACCCCGACACCCTGACCAGCGTACACAACCTGGCTTTCCTTCTTCATCGACAGCGAAGGCGTGAAGCTGCTTTGGCCTTAAATGAAAGGGCGAGCAGCGGATTCCAGCGTGCTTGGTATAGAGCATCCTACTACAAAAGCATGCTCTCGGCACCATTCGTCTCTAGTGCAAGAGATGCAGCGAGGAGAGTAGCGTATCCTATATAGTCACTTAGAGGAAAAGCACGAAGGTACATAGATGTCAGTACCTAGGCAATTTGTATCTCTGGCTTGATGTGTCAGCGTCAGGGATTGGCCACAGTGAGATTTTGCCACCACTGGCAGGGAGGATGGCCGACCCGCACCGGCTTGGAGCTTTGCGCCAGAGGCGATGGTTTGTAGATATGGCTGAAGAGAAGAGTGCTGTATGCAGCTGTAATTGGATGGTGTAGGGTCTTGCTAAGCATGGTCACCATAAACAACCCAAAACTCCTCACCACCATCCTAGGTCGAAAGCACACCTCTACGGCCCTAGAGATGGCAGTGCTTCATGTATGCAGCCGCTGGTTGTTTAACCATACGACAGCTGTATCGCTGGAGCATGCGGGGCCTTCCCACCTTCAAATGTGTTTGCAACGATGGCGTGCGGCCTATGGCACCAAACCCATTCGCCGGGGCGCAGGCTTCAATTTCTAGTGCCTCCCCTACTCTATCTGACCATATAACTGTATTCCCCTTCAACGATCCGAGACTACATCTCAGCTGCTGCTTAGTCAAGGAATCGGCGCCAGTCGGCTCAAGAAGCATGAGGACGTGGTGGCTTGAGCAGGTCTTTCGTTCCGTCAGCGGAAGGGATACTAGCGGGTTTCGCGGCTTAAGGACGACGTAAATGGCATGTCTCTATGTTACAAAAGTCCATATCGCTATGCGTTAGGCCGTATCTCGAAGTTGTACGATGGCCGTGTCGAGTGGTTGCGACGCTGAGACGCGTTGGCTGACTACCGTGTTTCATCGCTTAACGCACGGCCCCTCGTAACGCACACACAACCAAAATTCATCAACTTTTCAATCAAGCTTATCTCCACTAATATGGACCTAATTGAGGCCGCGCTGGCGTCATTTAAATCGCTAAAGCTTAGAGAAAAACCTAATTATAGTGCAACAGCAAAAAAATTTAGTTGTTGTCGCTCTACACTATTAAAGCGCCACTGCAGGGTGCAGGGCACCTATGCAGAGAAGCACAAAAATTAACAACTCTTTAACAATGTACGAGAAAAGGAACTTTCTAAATACCTTAACAAGCTTTACGCAAAAGGACTGCTACTTATAAAGCTTATAATACGCAATTTTGCCTTAGAAATAGCTAGAAAACAGGCTAGTAAAAACTAAGTTAATTACTTTATTAAGCAGTAGAATATTAAGCTTATATCTTAATAAACATCTAGCATAGATTCTAATTATAAAAGAGCTAACTCAGCCTTTAAATATAAGCTTTATTTTAAGCTATTATAAAAAAAATTAATAATTATAGCATAAAGTTGTCACGATTGTGCACGAGTAAGGTTATAGAGCTTCACAGAGGTCTAGTTTAATTACTATGTAAGGTATCATAGTAGGTACAAGACGTTGTGTGAGGAACAGAAAGGTTTAGAAGGAAATTAGTAATTAAATACTTAGCTTAGAAGTCTAAGCGCTTGTCACGATTGTGCACGAGTAAGGTTATAGAGCTTTACAGAGGTCTAGTTTAATTACTACGTGAGGTATTATAGTAGGTACAAGACGTTGTGTAAGGAACAGGAAGGTTTAGAAAGAAATTAGTAATTAAATACTTAGCTTAGAAGTCTAAGCACTTTAAGTATAAATTAAGCTTATTCTAGGTTTAGTTAGTGTTAAGGTAGTTTATGCTTAAGTTTATGTCTATATTATGTTATGTTTATGTTAGACGTGCACTAATAATACTCTAGTACGCGTTTAATATAGTTATGTCTAGGATCTAGGGAGGATACTGTGACAGTACCCCCCCTCTTATTAGGAAGGGAATCCTTTACATTAGTAGTTCTAGCATTAGGTTGTCTTTATTAGGGTATAGGTTTAGTTTAGATAAGTATTAGGCGTAGAATTAAGTTACTGCAGAGTTCTCTTATAAGGCTTCTGCAGGTTCTTATAATAGTTTGTTATATCTAGTCTATTTTATAAAGTATTTATAGATATGTTTTTTCTTATTAAACTAAATTTATTTAACATCTTCTATAATGTATTCTAGTTTATTGTTTATAATAATAAGTTTAGGTAGTAAGTTTAGCTGTCTAAGTAGATAGTTAGATTTAAAGGCTACTTAGCGCAGCAACAATACATAGAACACAGGGTGTATCTTTATGCTGTTAGGTAGGATTAATTAGTAAGTGTGTAATAAAACTATATAGGCTACTATAAAAGGGCTAAGGTTCTTTTAATTAAGTTTCTTTAATTATTAGTTTATTTAGATATTTCTAGTGTTTAGCTAGACCTTCTTGCTAGCTACATACATAGGGGCAAGGGTTTAAGATTAGTTTACATACTTTTATTAAAAAGCTTAAGCCTATGTAAGCTTTTTATAAATGTATTTAGATATATTTTAGATTTTATTAATAAGTCTATTTATATCTATTACTTATATAGATTAATAAGTTAGTTAGAAAGTATTTATAAGTAGTTTAAATTTTATTTAGGGGTAGTATTTATAGTTTACTAAAAACAGGGATACTTATGTTAATTTAGATGTTATGTTATTAGCTTTAAACTATGCTATAGCTAACTATTTTACCTAGTTATCTTACTAGTAGTTTATATACACTTATAAGACTTATTTTATTACAGTGTTTATGTTCTTAGTCTAGCTGTTAGTCTCTAGGTAAAAAGCTGTAGATAAATAGGGGATAATTTAGAGCTGTTTACAGAGTTTGTCTTAGAAGGCTAAGACAAACTGCGTACCTCTGTCTAATATAATTATGTTAGGCAGGCTATAGTAAACCTATACATATTAGTAGAATAACTAGGCTATATTAGAGGCAGTTATAGAGAAACATAGTATTAAGTATTAATACTTAGTTAAGTAATTAATAACTACTATAATATTTATATACCCTTTAAATAAAGGTAGGTCTATAATAAAATTAATTAATATGTCTTTCTAAGCTTGTTTAGAGATTAGGAGTAGTTTAAGTAGGCTATTATATCTTTTTTAAGAGGCTTTTACTTTACAGCAAGTATAGTAACATAATACATATTAGCATACAGTATAGAACATGCAGGGCTAGTAGTACTCTCTTTATAGTAGGTTAAAAGTCTTTTCTCTGCCTAAGTATTCTCTAATAAGTAAGTTATATATAATTTAGAGTAGTTTAATTCTTAGTTTATTAAAATTAAAAATTATAAGTTAGTTATAGTAATACAGCTTACTATTTTAGTTTTTATAGTTAGCTAGTGTTACCTTCTTTAACTAACTAGCGCTGTTTTAGAGCAGGTCTAAAGTTTTTTAAATAAATTTATTATTTAAATACTTATTAGTAATAATTTAATTAATTATTAGATCTGTTTTATTTAAGTTAAAGTTTAAAAATAGCTTAAGTTAAAGTAGAGTTTAGTATTAAGCCTTTTACACTTCTTCCTAAGTAGGGATGTCTTAGAATTGCCTTATAAAGGCATCTAGTTTCCCTCTGTCTTAACTAGGATAATAAGTAATCTTAAAATTAAAATAAAATAAGTATTTAAACTAATAAGCTTATTAGTAGCTAAGTTATTTTATAGTTACAAAGTACTATAAGTTCTTATAGTTAGATAGAACCTATATTAGATGCGCTACACCTTCTAGTTTAGGTTGCTATTATTTAAAGTAGTGTACTATAGTAAGTAATTCTTTGTTATAGATCTTATAATTACCTTCTACAGAACTTATTCTTTTTAAGAAGTATGTAATAGGCCTAATAGTCCTATCTAGCTTAGTCTAGAAAAGAACTTCTGCTACTACATAGTTTAAGGCATTAGCTTCTACAAGTATTAGTAGTTTAGAGTTAAAGTAGTAGAGTATTAAAGCTTTAGTAAAAGCTTTTTTTAGCTAGTTAAAGGACTATTAGTAATTTAAGTTAAAGTTAAATTAAACCTTTTTCTTAGTAAGTGTAATTATAGGGCTTACTAGCTGTAAAAAGTTATTAATAAATTATTAGTAGAAGTTAGTAAATTTTATAAAAGCTTAAATGTCTTTTATATTTTTTAGGTATTACTAATCTAGCACAGTTTAAACCTTAATAGGGTCTATTTAGATGCTATTTATAGAGATTACATATTCTAAATATGTAACTTTTAATTAGTAGAACTTACATTTATCTATATTAAGTTGCAGACCTGCTTCTTCTATAGCCTTTAGCACTAGGCGTACATGCTGTTTATACTTTAAAAGGCTATTGCTATAGATTAGAATATTATTAATATACATAGTGCAGAACATGTCTAGGTAGAGTTAAAGTAAGTTGTTTATAAAATGTTAAAAAGTACTAGGCGCGTTAGCTAAGCTAAAGAGCATTACTAGGTACTTAAATAGTCTATATTAGGTCTAAAATGCTGTTAGCTACTTATTACCTTTTACTATTCTTAGCTTATTAAAGGTAGTAATAATATCTAACTTTATAAAATACTTTACTTTACTTAGTTAGCTTAGAGTTTTTTATAAAAAGGGAATTAAGTATTAGTTCTTAATAGTAATAGTGTTTAGTCTTTAGTAGTTAACATAAAATTAAAGCCTACCTCTAGGTTTCTTTATAAATAGTATAAGTAACACTACTAGTAAAAAGCTAGCTTAAATAAACTTTTTTTTTAGGTTCTTATTAAGGTATTTTTAAAGCACTTTTAATTTGTTTAGTAACATCCTATATAGTAGCCTATAACTAGGTTGTTTACTAGGCTTAAGAGTTATCTAGTAGTTATACAAACATTATATTAGAAGCTTATTAGACTTGTCTTAAAAGAAAACATATAACAAGTTATAGTAGTCTTAAGGGACTATTATTTTTAAGTTAGTGTGTTTTTAAAGAGCTAAAGCTTAGTCTATATTAGAAATTATAACTGCGTAGATTTTATAATCTAGTTGTTAAGCTAGGGTTATAAACAAAGTAGGTTCTATGTAGTAGATGTCTATCTGCTGTTTAAGTCCTAGTTTATATCTAAATTAGGTAAGTAAAGGTTTTTTAAAAGCTTTTTTTTTTAAGTTTAAGTAGTTATTAAATTATTTTACATAGCTTATCTTAGTAAAAGGCCTAGCTTATTAGCTTTACTTAAGTAGTTCTTTTTTAAGTTATTAAAAAGTAAGTCTAAAGACCTTCTATATTAAGTGCTATTTAAGTGTTATTTAGGTGTAAGTGTAAGCATATATCTTAGCATTAAGAAAAGTTAAAGTTTAAAACTTACTCTTAGTAATTAAAGGTAACCTTATGCTAATACAGCTATAGTTGTTCTAGAATTAGGTTATAATGTCCTGTGTTTATTACATAGAGCTTAATCTACTCCTTATAGTGTTAGTAAGTAATTATAATAGTTATAGTATAAAAAATAGAACTTTTTTTAAGTTATTTTCTATTAAATCTAGTTAGGTAAATTATTTAGGTAAGTAGTGTTAATTAGAGATTTAGTTTACGCGCTAGTTCTCTATTAATGTAACCTATGCTGTTTACTTCTAAGTTAATAAAAGCTTATATTAGGGCTAATATAGTTTCTTATTATAAATATATAAAAATATTAACTTAGTACTTCTAGTTATTAGTAGGGGACTTAGCCTATAAGTTAGCAAAGATCTAGTGTTAAATTAGTCTTAGAGGGTAACTTAGCCCTAGGACAAGCCTTTTTGCAGGCTCTTACTGCTATAGCTGCGGCTACGTTAAGAGTAGTAAAGGAGATTAAGGCTTAAATATAAGTTAGAGCCCTTATAAAAATAAAATTAAAATAGTAAGA